GTTGATGATGCTGACTCCTACTTACCTCACCACCAGCTCATCAGAAGAAGGTCCACGAGCTGATCACACCATCTTTGAATAATTACTAGAAAACTTCTCATTATCTCCCCCAAGTTGGGACAGTTTTGAGGGCATTAGCCCGCTGAGGCCCCCTTGAATAAAGCTATTTTTTTCCACTTCACCCAAAACGAAGTCTCTGGGACTTGATTTGGCACCAGTGTACAGAGAAGCTCAGCTTTTGACATCATGTCTTGCTTATTTGATCTTCTTTTAAAAAGGTTTGTCAATAAACATTGAATAAGCTCCTTGTTTTCTGAGGTCATCTTACATCCATCAGGCTAACTTGCTATTTCACATCAGTACATGCTGTCTTCAGAAAGGGGTTGGTTTAGGACTGCCCCAGTGGTCCAGTGGTTAAGAATCTGCCTGTCAATGCAGAGGACATGGGCTTGGTTCATGGTCCAGGAAGAGGCAACCTGCCCCAGAGCAACTAAGGCCGTGCACCACAACTACCGAGCCTGTGCCCCAGAGCCTGGCGCAGCAGCTACTGAGCCCACGCGCCCCCGGAGCCCAGACTCTGCAATCAGAGAGTGACCCCTACTCGCCACAACTAGAGAAAGCCTGAACACAGTGATGAAAACCCAGTGAAGCCAAAATGTAAATTAATTAATTAAAAAAAATTTTAAGGGTTCTTTAGGGAGAATTTCCTACAGACAAAACTCATAAACATCTCTTCCTAGCCAAGCTTTGGAACGTTCTGTCTGAAAAAAAACTGGCTTAGATGCTTTGTAGCTATGGATTTTTCTCTGCCTTTTCTGTTTTTTCCAAACTTTTGAGCCCACTTCATCTCAGGTCCCAGCAAGTGAGGCGGGGGTGGGGTTGGGGCTGCACAGCCGGGGACGAGAGCTCAACAGCGAGGGGCTGGGCGGCCCCAACCTCACTCCCAAGGGGAACCCCGTGTCCCATGTCCACGTGGAACTCCTCAGCCAGGGAACCAGGGAAAGAAAAGGAGAAATCAAGTATTTATAGGAAAATTATTTCTCACAAGCAAGCGTTTGTTCTAAAAGCTTTTAGAAATATAATTATTTTTCTCCTTCTCCAGGTTTTTCTGTTTTTAATATGAAACACTTTCAAGTCCCCTGGTTGAGTTTCCAGGAAGCCATAATCCATTTTGCCTTGGGTGGAGTTTAGGAAAGAAACTAGATCTCAGAAGTGAACATGTTTCCATTGAAATTGCCACATGGAACTCTTGCAGCTTCTTTAATGTGCTTGCATAATAAGGAGGGCCCCATCCCCCAGGGCAGGGTGGACCAGTTTTCTCCTGGTCTTCTGATCCAGGAGTTTCTGTCTTCTCTGAGGCATAGCTGGACTCCTGCTCTCACTCAGCCTCACCTACTAAGTTATGTCCAAGGGGGAAACCTCTGGAGCAACGCCTTCCAGTAGAAAGGAAATGTGAACCATGTTTGTGCTTTTTCATATTCCAGGATTCATATTAGAAATTAAAAACAATACATGGAATTCATTTTAATAATGAATAAATAATTTAAATAACATTTTCTTTAACCCAATATATCATACCAACATACAATCAATATGAAGATGAATAAGGTTGTTTTCACCCTTTTTTTTCTCAATATATCTATTTATTAAAGTGTAGCTGACACAGTATTTCAGCTGCACAGTAAGGTGACTCAGCTATACACATGCACACACTACTTTTCAGATTATTTTCCATTATAGGTTATTACAAGATATTGACTATAGTTTCCTGTGCTATAAGGTAAATCTTCATTGCTTGTTGCATATCTATTTTTTAAAATTAGAAATCTAGCATTAATTCATACTAAGTAAAACAAGTGAATTAAAATGTAATAAATTTTTTAGTTAGGCAAAAATTCATACATTTTCTAAAATACATATACTATACAAACTGCCCACCAGGCTCCTCTGTCCATGGGATTCTCCAGGCAAGAATACTGGAGTGGGTTGCCATGCCCTCCTCCAGGGGATCTTCCTGACCCAGGGATAGAACCCAGGTTTCCCACATTGCAGGCAGATTCTCATCTGAGCCACCGGGGAAGCCCCACACAAAAGCTTTTCTACTACACTTGATAAAGGCTTGAGAAAGAACATTTAAAAAAAAAAAAAGAAGCAGAAGAGATGGAGAAGCTAGAAACATAAACTAAATGAAATTCCACCCTTTTTTATATCAAATCTTTGAAGTCAGAGTGGAATTGACAGTTGGAGAACGCCTCAGTTCAAGAGAGCCAGGTTTCGGGGGCTCACTTGCCACATGGGGTGGTGCCTCCCATGTTGCACGGCAGCACGCTAGACTCTGCAGACGTTTACTGCTCACACGTGAACAACATGCCTGCAAAATGCCTTCCTCTGCCTGCCCCAGTCCTCCTGCGTGCTAGGTCACGTTAGCTGTGTCTGACTGTGCGACCCTATGGACGGTAGACCAGCAGGCTCCCCTGTCCATGGACCTCACTCCCCCTGCCCCTGTGCTAATTAAGTTGGGAAGGCTGGAAACCATCTTTCTCTCCTACTGCCTCTGTTAGGGGAACCACTGACCGAAACTGACCAGCCATGATAGTGACCACTTGCATGAATTGTCTTACAACTGGATGTCCTAGTAAGAACTCGGAACTGACAATCTCCCACCAACCAGGAGAATTTGGGAAAGGTCAAAAGAAGAGAGGAGACCCCTGTCCATATGTCCTACCAACCTCCCAGAGTCCTCGTTGGAATCCGTCCTGGCTGAGTGACGCGTGCGCCAACAGGAAGGACCCTGAGTTGGAATGATTGACCGGAGACATCCTGGAAACTGACCGCATCACCGTAAAAGCTGAGCCTGTGAGCCACGGGGCGGGGCCGCTCTCCCGGGGTCCCTGGCCCCCCTGCCTTCCGCCCGGGTTTCCTTCCCGATTCAGTCTCTTGCTCGGTCAGCACACTTGCTTCCTCGGACAAGTCGTTTCTCAGTGTTAGATAAGAGCCCACCCTCTGGAGAGGGTCCCCCTTCCTGCAAAACTTCAACCCCTCTGTTTCTGACTTACACAAAAGAATTCTTACTTTTGAAAGATTTGCTCTGAGGTCATATGGGAAACTAGATTGCTCTATGTCCAATCAAAATATTGTAAGCCCTCATGGTGGCCTTTGGACACTTGCTATCAGAAGATCTGGATTCAAATTCCACCTGGTGAAAAGTATGAGCTTGGGGAAAGCATTCCACCTCTTTAAATCAGGTTTATCATTGGTTCCATGGGCTGTAGCATTTGTCCTGGCATGACCTACCAGCCATCTGGGGTGGTGGTGTGAAGATCAAAACGGTGAATAGTGAAGGGGTTTGGAAGTGCCATCCAAAATAGAAAAATCATATTATTTATTATTTCAAGGCATTAAAGCAGCCACAGAAAACCACAACCCACAATATTTACAAAGACAGAGAAAGGATTTGTATGAAGAAACTGAATCAAATAAATAAATTCCTATAATTACCTATAATATTAATCAGTTTCTTAATTATTTCCAACCTTACCTTCTCATCTTTATTTACTGAGGCAGACAGAAAAAGACAGAAAATGACAAATAACCCCCAGGATAATAACTGTGGACCTTGGAGCCATCCTGAGACTCCACCTGGGTAATGCCCAACCATCAACTTTGTAACAATCTTGACAGTGACTCTGCAGAGAACATTGCACATGGACCTTATTTTCAAATACCCCCAATTTCAGATATCTGTGGAGAGTTGCTGCAGTCTCTCTACTCCATAACCACCTGGATAGTCTTGCCCTGGTAGCTTTTAGATTAGTAACATTAGCTTCTAACATTCCCTGTGACACCACTTAAACCTTACCTTCTCATTGTTTTCTTTAAAATGAGATGTGTGCAGGGGACAAAGGAAATATGTTGTCTTCACTCCTAAATGTTTCTCTCCCAAGTGTTACTTAAAAACAGAATTTCAATTTTGGACCTTTCCCATTTGCCTTCACTAATTACCTCCTTTATGTCTCCTGCAGTGGTACCCCAGCTAATTCAAGTTCCAACAGAATTTAGTCATTATGTCATCACATTCATTCCCTGCTCTGTGGGGAAGCCAGGCACACACACTCCACAAAGAGAGAAACCAAGAAGGGTCCTGGGCTTCAGGAGGCCACAGCTGTCACTCCGATCCGTTCACATGTGGCCAAATTCATCCACGTCCGGGAGCACAGAGTATGTTCTCATTCTGAAATCCAAACTTGCCAGTTGTGTGTAAATGAAGACCAACCCAATGAGAGGAACGTCCCTGCTCTAGGGGTTAAGCAGCTGCCTTCCAGGACTTCCCTGCTGGTCCAGTGGCTAGGACCCCGAGCTCCCAACACAGGGGGCATGGGTTCGATCCCTGATCAGGGAACTAGATCACACGTGCTACAACTAAGTTTGCATGCCTCAACTAAAGATCCCACATACCAAAAAAAAAGAGGGAGACTTTCTTGGTGACTCAGTGGTAAAAGAATCTGCCTGCTAATGCAGGGGACACGGGTTCCACCCCTGCTCCAGGAAGATCCCACATTACTGCAGAGCAACTAAGCCCGAGCACCACAACGATTGAGCTTGTGCTCTAGAGCCTGGGAGCCACAACCGCCGAAGCCCATGAGAGCTCCGCAACGAGAACGCACCACAGTGAGAAGGCCACACTCAGCAGTGAAGAACAGTCCCCGCTCACCGCAACCAGAGAAAAGCCCCTGCAACAATGGAGACCCAGAACCCAGCATGGCCGAATACAGAGTGAAAAATAAGTATTTTAAGGAAAGAGGTGACCTTAAAAACAAAAACACAAATCTTCCTTCCAATGCATGGGATGTGGGTTCCATACCTGGTTGGGGAACTAAGATCCCACGTGCAGTGGGGCAGCGAAGCCCGTGTGCCCACCTAGAGGGCCTGTGCCCCGCAGTGAAGATCCAACCAAACCAACCAAACAAACAAAAACCAGCCCAGTGAGAACAAGCAAAGGCTGTTTGTTCAGAGCTTGCTATATACAGCGAGGGAGCCAGTCACCCTCACTTGCCTCTGGCAGAGACTCGTGGGAAGGCTTCCCGGGTGGTGCAGTGATGAATACACCGGCCAAGTCAAGAGACACGGAGATGTGGGTTCAATCCCTGGGTCGGGAAGATGCGCCGGAGGAGGAGATGGCAGCCAGCATTCTTGCCTGGAGAATCCCACGGGCAGAGGAGCCTGGCGGGCTAGAGTGCCTGGGCTTGCACAGAGTCGGACACAAGAGAGCAGCTCAGCGTGAATGGGAAGGCTCTCCAGTGGAGAAAAGGAGGCGCTGCCGCAACTGGAGGCTGCCGACCCGGAAGTTAAAGGAGAGCCAGCCGGAAGTGGCAGCCTGTGCGCCTAGTTGGGGGGCAAACAAGGTTTCCTTTGCTTGGTCCTGAGTTGGAAGTGAGGGCAAAAATCAGGCAGGCTATCAGTTATTTACCCAATCCTGGACATTTGGGGCTGACTGCTTCAGAGGTTATCGCTTGGCATCTTGGTTGGTTACCGGAGACGAGGTCTGACGTCCGGCAGTCTGGGTATAGGCTGTCTTCTTGGGCTGGCGGCTGTAGGTGACGGGCGGGCTCCTAAGCTGGGCGCTGTGGGTGGGGGCCAGAGTTCTCCTTTCTATGTCGTGTCTGGCCCTGGCCCCTTTGAGTCTTCAGTCTCTCAGGTGCAAAGCAAAGCCGTCAGAATGGCAGAAGGGATCACCATGCGTGACCAGGAAGTTGTGGAATGAAGTCATCAGTTATGCCATATCTTGGCAACCACCCAGCGTTTTCTTAACGGCATCTTCCGGGTCCTTCTCGCCTGCGTCACAGCCACACGGCTTGGTGACATTTTTCAGTTGCCATTGTCACGTTACCAGAGTGAGTGACGCAGCCCTTGCAATGCCCTTCAGGATCAGGGCTGTGGGGGCTGGGATGCAGGACTTCAGTCACACGTCTGTGGGTCCCCAAAGGCTTCTGGGACAATGGACTCAGGAGGATCTCTGATAATATGAGTTTTTAAAACACATGGTAAAGCCATCTACCGTTTATTTGACTTCCTCTTTAAGTGCTTCAGATACATGTCATTTAAATGTCACAACAGCTCGATGGAGTGGGTACCAGGACTGCTGCGTCTTATAGGCCCCACTGAGCTAAAGTCAAGGTGTCGTCAGAGCCACCTTCCTCCTGGAGGCCCCAGGGGAGGCTCCACTTGCTTGCCTTCTCCGGATTTCAGAGGCTGCCCCAACCTTGACTCGGGGCCCCCTCTTGCATTGCTCCAACCTCTGCTTCCCCCACCACCTCTCATTCTCACTCTGACCTGCGTCTTTCTTATCAGCATCCCTGTGACGACCCTGGGCCCACCCAGACCACGCAGGGTGCTCCCTGTGTCAGGAGCCTTTACTGAATCACACCTGCCAACTTCCCTGGCGGTCCAGGGGTTGAGAGCCCGCCTGCAGGAGGGGACCCAGGCTCCATCCCCGGTCCAGGAAGATCCCACGGGTTGGGACGGCTGAGCCAAGCATCACTGCCTCAGAGCCTCCCTCCGGGGCCCGTGCCCCACCACGAGCAACGTCAGCCTGCTGAGGAGCCCACTTACCATGACGAGAGAAAGCCCTCAGGCTGCCACGAGACCCAGGGCAGCCACACATAATTAGTTCCGTTTATAAAATCACACCTGCAAAGTCCGTTTTACCATGTAAGGTGACATTGTCCCACGTTCCAGAGATTAGGACGTGAATGTTTCGGGGGGGGCAACGGGGTCATCATTCAGCCTACCGCAGTAGAAACCGAGGCTCAGAGAGGTTAGGTTATCGTCACAGAGCCTCTCGGCTAATGGCAGTGCAGCTGAGGTTTGCATTTTCCAGCGACATCACACTTCCTTTCTGAGTTCACCACCAATGCCTCTGAGGCCAAACTCGGTGCAGGGTCACGTGTGCAAAGTGTGACCCTCACCTTTGCCCTTCCCCAGCATCTTGGTCCCCAAGACCACCTGCCCACTCAGTTGTCTCCCAGCCACGCACACACCTTGATGGGGAAGACCCACCACTGGGGCACTAGCCCCGCAGGGTCCAGGCCTGGGGTCTGCCCCGGCTCAGAGCCCCTCTACGAGTCTGTGGTCGCAGTCCAGCAGCTCTCCGGTTTCAGGTCGTTCTCCACGCGCCCCTCTCCCCTGCTCAGGAGCCCTTAAGATCTCCTGGCTCTTCCTCAGAACACACAGGGACTCTGCCTTTCCTCCAGCTCCTCCTTATAACCCATCGGAGTTAAGAAGCATGTCTGGTTTAATAGACAGTCATCTCCAAGAGTGTGGAGGCACCAGCCCCTGGATGGTCAGAGTGCTGAGGAAAGAGGACTTGTTCCGGAAACCGGTACCACGTAGACATCTCCCGGCTGAGTCTGGGCAGGAGACGGGCTCAGCTATAGGGGAGGAGGATGCTCTTGGCATCGCTACTGAGGCCTTGCCTTCTGCTCCACTTTAACCCTCCCTCTTGACCGTAACGGAGGGCTTCCTAGGTGGCTCAGCTGGTAAAGAATCCACCTGTAACATGGGAGACCTGAGTTCAATCCCTGGGTTGGGAAAATCCCCTGGAGAAGGGAAAGGCTCCCCACTCCAGTATTCTGGCCTGGAGAATCCTATGGACTATACAGTCCATGGGGTCACAAAGAGTTGGACACGACTGAGTGTGTTAACTTTCACTTGACGATAAAAAAACTCGGGGAGCCCTTGCTCAGCCATACCAGGCAGAATTCCAAAAGGCCAGAACACTACTGCTGTGCTTGTGAATTCTCCAGCCTTCTAGGCTCCAGTCCTTCGTTGCCTCACCCTGCAGTATTCCACGGATGCTCTGTGCTTCATCTGTTTTTTCATGACATGGTCTCTTGTTTCAAACCTCACTAGTTGGTTTGCTATAATATGATGCACTCTCTTATCATGCAATTCTTCCCCGGTGGCTCAGTGGTAAAGAATCTGCCTGCCAATGCAGGAGACCCAAGAGACGCAGGTTTGATCCTTGAGTCAGGAAAATCCGCTGGAGTAGGAAATGGCAACCCACTCCAGGATTTTTGCAGGAGAATTCCATGGACAGAGGACCCGGTGGGTTACAGTCCAGGGGGTCACAAAGAGTTGGTCACAACTGAGCTCACACAGGTCATGTAATTCACCCAAGATTCTCCAGGGGAATCTTCCCAACCCAGGGGTCGAACCCAGGTCTCCTACATTGCAGGCGGATTCTCTACTGTCTGAGCCACCACGGACTGGGACAGAACTTCCACTGTCCCAATACTCAGTGTTTGTTCAATAAAATCACATGCCCAGGGCACATCAGCCTTTTATGGTGTCTCCGCCAGCAAGTCAAGGCCCAAGAGTTAGACACACATCTCTTGTGCCAAGAGAAGAGGCTCTACTACTTTCTTTGGTGGTTCCTTTTTGCATGAGAATGTGCAAGGGCTTGGTGGAACACAAGGCGAGGTATTCATTACAAAGAGGAAGTTAATAAGAAGCACAGAGAGCCCAGATTCTTTCTTTTATCTTCTCTCTCTGCCGTGGTTTGGTTAACTGTTGAAATAATTGCAGATCAATCTCACTTAATTAATAACTTAAAACAATGGTCCAAAATTCTCTTTGATCTCCATGGGGACAAATTCCTTGTATCCAGGGGAGCCTAGCAGCAAAGGGGGCTCTCAGAGGAAGTTTCTGGGCCCCTCCTCTGTCCGGGGAGGCCTTTTTAAGAGCCCCCAAGTCTTGAATTCCCCATCTCTAGGGCTCTGAGGAGCTGTGTTTTTCATTTCTGTACCTGAGCCAGGCTTCAGCCCTACCACCCAAGATGAATCTTGGCCCCTCGTCGCACTAGGCACTGCATAAATCCTGGACACAGCTGAGTGAGAGAGACATTTACTGTCTGCCGTGGCTCTAAGTGAACCTAAGAGTCTGCGAAGAACATTCGGGACACACGTGTGTCTAGCACTATCCTCCCATCCTGATTCTGACCAATGATGCTGACCGACCGTCGATGTTAGAACGCTGGGTCCTGTGACTGCCAGGCCTTCTCGTCTAATTGATTCCAGTTTCCAAGTGTCCTAAGTGGCATAGCAATATTACTAGCACAATCCAGGAGAGGGAATAAATAAAGCAATTTCTCCAAAAATTAACCCAGACTTCCTTTTTCTTGTGAAATTCACAGGTCACTAAAAAAGGGAAAATAGCTTAGATATAATTAACCATGACAGGTTGAGCAACTCCAGAAAGAATCAGTGTTTTGGGGGACTTCCCTGGTGGTCCAGTGGTTAAGAATCTGCCTGCTGATACTGAGACACGGGTTCGGTCCCTGGTCCAGGAACTAAGATCCCACATCTGGGGCGACTAAGCCCACGTGCCACAAGTACTGAAGGCTGCACCCCCCACCCCCGCCAGAGCCTGCACTCGGCAACAAGAGAAGCCTGAGCATGCAGCTCGAGACGCGCCCGCCTGTTACAACTAGAGAGAGCCCATGAGCAGCAATGAATACCCAGCACTGCCAAAGATGAATTAATTAAAAAAAAAAAGAATCAGTGTTTTTATACTGCAGGACCACCGTTATATTAGATCCCTTCACTTGCAAACCAGCCCAGAATCTGGAGACACATAATTTCATACTGCCCAAAGCACTTCTACAGTTTGAGTCTCAATTAAAAGTCAAATATGCATATGATACAGAAAATTCTTTCAAAAATCAAGATTGAAATAAAGGACAGCCTCAGGATTCCAAAACAGCCAAAATATATCTTTTTCATAGATTCTTGGATATCCTTGGGAAAGTCATTCAACCTTTATGAGTCTCAGTTTCTTAAAATTCAGCACCGATGAAGCCCCTGGCTGGCTAATCTCTGAAGCAGTGTGGTTCAAGGGACCTTTCTGAGACGACACAAATGTCCTGCATTCACACTGGCCATTGTGGCCGCCGCCCTGAGCACATGATGTCCATCTAGAGTGACTGAGGAACTAGATTTCAAATTTCGTATCATTTGATTCCATTTGAATAGCCACATGTGGCTAGTGGCTATGCATTGGACAGGACAACCCTAAAGGGTCCATGTTTTTAAAAAAGTTATTTTTGGCTGCACTGGGTCTTCTCTGCTGCGTGCAGGCTCTCTCTAGCTTTGGAGGGTGGGGGCTCTCTCTAGTTTTGGAGAGTGGGGGCTCCCTCCAGTTTTGGAGGGCGGGGGCTCTCTCTAGCTGTGGAGGGCAAGGGATGTCTTTAATTTTGGAGAGCAGGGGCTCTCTCTCGCTTTGGAGGGCGGGGGCTCTCTCTAGTTTTGGAGGGCGGGGGATCTCTCTAGCTGTGGAGTGAGAGGGCTCTCTCTCACTGTGGAGGGTGGGGGCTCTCTCGCTTTGGAGGGCGGGGGCTCTCTCTAGTTTTGGAGAACGGGGGCTCTCTCGCTTTGGAGGGTGGGGGCTCTCTCTCGCTGTGGAGAGTGAGTGCTGTCTCCAGCTGTGGTGTGGGGGCTTCTCGCTGCTGTGGCTCCTTTTGCTGTGGAGCCAGGCTCCAGGCGCACGGGCTTCAGTAGTTACAGCTCTTGGGCTTAGTTGCTCCGAGGCATGTGGAATCTTTCTGGACTAGGGATTAAACCTGGGTCCCCTGCATTTGCAGGCGAACTCCTATTCTCTATACCACCAGGGAAGTTCTAATGCGTCCATTTTGACGTAGGGAAAATTACAAGGGAGGTGGCGGATATTCTGGGACTGGGTGGCCTTGGGTCTACGGTTAGCTGTCACAACTGCAGGGAGTGACTCCTCTCCTCTCAGACCTCCAGCTGAGTGAGCAAGAGAATGCTGCAGGGGACAGCACACCACACGCTTGCTCTGTGATTGGCGAGACCACTTAGCATCCAGTGGAGAAAGGAGAGAGGAACCGGTGAGTGCCTTTCAGTTACAACTCGATTTCTCATGGCATCAGAGGAGAAAGAACAGGACAACTTCTTCCACCATCTGTTTGGCCTTCCTGGCTGTTCTGGGTGTTTGGAGAGAAGGTGGGAACTGAATCCAGTTAGGTAAGAGAGCTGGCTCCTTGCTTTCAATCAGAAAGGTTTTAAGATGGAAGCCTATGAACTATGTATTCAATGCAAAAAGCAAAAAGTTAAATGGAATTAAAATTTTCGGCTTAGAGGCACTCCTGAGCACCAGAGTCCTGGTTCTCATAACATAAAACCTGCATTAAGACCTCGTTTTGTGTTGGATTCTAACCTACCTTTCCTAAGGGATCAGTGAGGTCCATCAAGGTATTTCCCTTTTTCGAGGAGGGGGGTTGTGAAATATGGTACGTTTCTACCTGCCTCCAGAGTTAATGTCCTTTTTGAAAGAAACAAAAGCAGCAGAAACACTCATCTGTGCCGTTGTGTTTTGCACAGTCACTCACC